AGGCAAAAATATGCTACCATTGTCTGCGTTCGCATCGTGATCAAGCCTGCAAATATTCGAATTGCACTTTTTGCAATAAGCGTCATAATACGTTGTTGCATCAAGAGGATCGATCAAACGCGAATAAGACCGACGCGAAAATGAACGCAAACGTAAATACGGTATGACTAGACAATGCGGACGTTGGTATCGCGAGACATAACGCCACAATTAGTGACCAGTGCGATGATTTATGTTGAGAACAATGCGAGCGATGTTATTAAATGTCGAGCGTTATTGAATACGTGTGCTACAGCTAATTTCATTTCGGAGAGCTTAGTAAAACGGTTAAGATTGTCGGTGAAAGGGCAAAGGACAACCATAAGCATGATCAATTCGCTTCATACGGCATCAGAGGGCATCGCAGAAATTACCATACGGTCAACGTGTATCGAGTTCAGTAAAGATATAACATGTATTGTGATACCAACCATAGTTAGTTTAATGCCGTCCGAATATTCTGTATTAATGTTATGATGTTGTAATTGGTTTTGCGTCCTTTAGCGCGTATTTTGAGCACCATTGCCGGTTTATTTATACTGAACAAATAGTTCTTTCTCGCTAGGCGAAAATTAGGAGTATATATTTCCCAAATAGATGTAATCCAGGACATTCCTGTTAAAATGTAAGACTATAGTATTTCAAATGCAAAAGATCAAGAATGCTTGTTATATTTCTTACCAGTCGCTTCAAAATTGTACGGTTCTCTGGTTAAATCAGGACAGGCAACAATTTCAATTTGAAATTCGTCAAAGTATTCGTGTAATTTGTACAGAACTGTGGCAATATGCAATAACAGATGTAAAGTATTAAATAACTAAATTAAGTAATAAATGTTTTATACGTACTGTCCCTGATATCTTCAAGACTAATTGAATTCAATGATGATATGCATTCAACCTCAACTCTGGGGTCATCTTCAGGTTCATTTTCGGGGTCATTGTCGGGCTCATTTCTAATGTCATTCATTTGTAATAACACTGTTATCTTCTCCAGACTCTTTTGGTACGACAAGTTTAGATTCTTTTACAGGTTCCTTTTTCAGCTTTTTTTCGGGATTATTTGTGGGTTCACCTCTGGGATTATTCTCAATTATATTTTTATTTCTAATGTTTTTTTCACGCCTAACATGTTTTGGCTTATTCGGTTTACCCATAATGCTCAATTCGAGTTTAACGCGACAATGTCGTGCTATGTAAGAATGTAATGATTGATTAGATTGCTATAAAAAAAGCAACAATTATTGTATCAGTAATTTATATACAGAACGTAACATGTAGCAGAGTATATCACAATTATTTTTAAAGAGAATATAGTATTATTAATAATGTACATATATTTTAAAGATATGATGTAAAATTATGTTTAATTGTGTTTTATGACATGCATTTTAAAAAGTAAATTGTAATTAATTTAAGCAAATATATCTAATGTTAAAAATGAAAATTTGTATATTAAATTAGATTGATTTGAAATTTTGAAGATTCTCTAAGTTTAAAAAAAAAACATTTATAATTATTTTTGAAGAAATACAATATTTGAATTAGAAGAAATAAAATATATATGTTCCTAGGTTCTGAGGTTATTCTTTTTCTGTTATTTTGTACACGTATAATTTACATGTTCAGAAAATATCTTTAAATGATTTGAAGTTTATCAAACACCTTATAATTATGTTATAAATTATATAAACGCAAAAAATATCTCTGCATATAATTGTAAATGTACGCATAAATTATATATATATATATATATATATATATATATATATATATATTTGTACTTACGTTATGAAATGTCTTATTGTTCATATAATAAAATTAGTATTATCGTCAAACGTGTCTTCTTTCGGTGTTTGCAAATGTGTGACTAATCGCACGGAACGTTTTACAATTAGTATATATTATTCTCTTAAATGTAATTAAAAGTACAAAGAAATAACAACAAAATATGAAAACGGTCAATGTACAAGTCAATATCGATTAGAGTTATTGTAAATATATCTTGAATTTACCAACAAAATTTAATACAAATACTTATACAGGGTGTCTCATATGAAATTACTGAAACTAATCAGCTGTTATTTTTTAATGCATGCAGTTATTAAGAAAACAAAAGTTTGTCTTGGAAAGAGAAAAATCTGCAGTTTTTAACGGATATACATAAAATGTTCATACAGTTTATTTTATTGATAAAAAAATAATAAAAAAGGTGCTAATAATCACATAAACTATATATAAATATTTTCAAAAGAGCTGGGTTTAATAGCAGCTATTAATAGGATCATCAACATTAAAAATGACATGTTAAAAAAAGTTCTAAAAAATATTTGTAAAAGAATAGAATTTATTATAAATTCAAATGGTGAGCATTTTGACAATATTTATCATTAGTTTACATATGTGATTATTAGTTCTTTTTTTATTACTTTTTTTTATATTTGTTTAATAAACTGGTATACAAATTGTTTATTTATATCTATTAAAAGCTGCAGACTTTTCTCTTTCCAACACAATTTTTCATTTCTCAATAACTGCACACATTAAAAAACGACAGCTGATTAGTTTCAGCAATTTCTTATGGAACACCCTGTGTATCTCTTTCTCCTCCCGTTCCAGAAAAGACCAGATAAACGTCGTTTTCTTTTTTCGCGCCTCCGTGAAAAAAAATTGGACCAAGACGTAAGTCCTCTCTCGGATTTTTCCCAGCTTACACGAAGAATCCATTCTTCGCCGGATGCTCGCATAAATGCGGAAGAGCGGCCGATAAACACGCGTGGACGCGTTCAGCGCCGCGGAATCGGTCAACGCCAATAATGGAATTTACATTGACCGGATAGAGCTGAGAGGGCGAGAACGTTCGGAAGGTAAGGTGGTTAAAAGTCTTTTTTTATTCTTGTTATTTTATTTTTATTATAATTGTGACAACTAATATTCTATTAACATGAAGTACATCACGCGCATTTAAACGATTTGTATATTGTAATTAATGCCAAACAATATGATTTCATATTTTTGAAACACTATATATATACTATCATTTTAATGGTCTGCTTTTCCAGTCATAAATGATCGGACAAAAAGACATATAATCGATATCGATTCGACCAATTCGGTATCGATTTGATATTGATTTGACGTCGATTTAACTATTGTTTTTGACTGGGTTATATGTTAATAGAATAAATATAAAAATGGAAACATAACATATAACGTATATGTACTAAACATATACGCAAAATAGTATTTTTAAAACTATTTTTTTCCTTAAAAAGAATCGTCATTATGTAAATCATCAAACTTTGGTAAATTATTTCTATAGATCGTTTTGTAAAGAGAGTTTGTGAAATATATACATATATAAATTTGTATAATTAAATATTATATAATATATGTATGCATATATATAAATAATATTTTGATGATATGTAACATCTGTATGGTTTACATTATATAAATATTTAAGAAAAATTAATATATGAATGTCTATTATACAAAAATATAAAGTAATATATAGATAAAAATATATTTGTGTGTATTTTACAAACTTGGTTTATATTTGTTTATGTTCTCTATTTAATTTAAATATATATATATATATATATATATATATTATATATGGGTGTCCCGAAACACTCTTAACAACGTTTGTGTGATGATAGAGCGCATCGATACGAATAAAAAAATCTTATACTATTTTGCAATATATTTAATCATAACTTTAATCAAAATATTTAATGTTAAAGTCAAGCGAATAAAAGCGAGTAAGACAGATAAAGTCAAGCATATAAAAGAGAAAGTTTTATTAAAGATATCGCAAAATGTGTGGTATAAAACATTTCTGTTCGTTTCGATGCGCTCTATCACCACACGAATGTTGTTAAGAGTGTTCCAAGACACTCTGTATATATATATATATATATATATATATATATATATATCAACAAATGTACATTTTTAAATATTTATACTAATATACGGTATATTTCTATTTTTATATAAACTATTTTTATAGATCGTTTTGTAAAAAGAGTTTGTGGAATATACACATATATAAATTTGAATAATTAAATTTGTATAATTAAATATTATATAATATATGTATGCATATATATAAATAATATTTTGATGATATGTAACACCTGTATGGTACACATTATATAAATATTAAAGTGACATTAATATATAAATGTATATTATACAAATATATAAAGTAGTATATAGATAAATATATATTTGTGTGTATTTTACAGACTTGGTTTATATTAGTATGTTCTCTATTTAATTTAAATGTATATATATATATATATATATATATATATATATATATATATATATATATTTCTATAAATACACATTTTTATATATTTATATTAATATACAGTATATATTTTTTGCTAATTGTCAATCAAAATTGTCGGATAATATGTACATTTACAGAATATTTAGAGAAAAAGTTTATAATAATATTATCAAACTTCTTAACATATTCTTCTCTGATATTTTTCTCCATCATCAATCGAAATAAAAACATAGATTATGTGTACTACTCAAATTAATCAGTATTAAAATATAATAATTAAATAATGAAATAAATGATAGATAATAAATTGATAATAAAATATATAGTTAATAAGAATTAATACGATTTACGTTTCAGAATTAATGAGATAATTCTTTTGCAAAACTAAAGATATATATGAAATATCTCAAAGATATTTCATCGAGCCGAAAATATGTTATAACATTTTCGGCTTAAATATCTCATAAAAATTCACATTTAATATATATATATATATATATATATATATATATATATATAGATAAATGTTCACATTTATCACGAAGCACAGCTAGTACAGATGACATGATTTTATTTCAAGCGTGGACAAATTTATATCATAATTAAGATTATAAATTAAGATTATAAATTTATCAAAATATTAATAATTATACATTAAGTTTATAAATTAATGTATGTAGAATGATACGTTTTAGTAAGTATGCTAATAACAATATAACATACGTTCCGCTACATCAAAGTAACCAACATATTCTGTCTCTTCTGGCGTGATGTCGTTGAGAAATCGGTCGAGTTCTAAGTCAAAGGTTGAGCGAAACATGTAACGATCATTTGTATAAAACTGCAAAATATAAAGTTTATGAAATTAATGTTATTATGAATTAATGTTAATAAATTAATGTTATTTAATATTATGTCGCATTGAAAATCAAATATCAATGTTATCATTCTCATGTTACTATGATCATATAAAATTTTGAAATATAAATATATGTTAATTTCGATAACATAGTATAAATATATAACAAAACGCGTATAAACTCGTAAATTAGAATCAAAGGTAGAAATAGAAAATATATGAAAATATAAAGAATATAACAATGTAAACAATAACAATTTATAATTTAATTATACAATTTATATGAAAATAGAGAATTTAAAATTATATAATATTCAAAAAATTAGTTTTTGGATGTGCACAAATAACTTACAAGTCCATCATGTTGTCCTTCAATTATGACTGGATCATTGACTATTACGCCCAGAAATACGTTTGCATTTAAATTACAGTCTATATCCTCAAACCGTGGCTCGTCATTTTTTGGAAATTTGCCCAGTTTTATGTGTCCCCCTTGTATTAGAAGCAGGCCACCTAACCCTAAAGTATTAAGTATGAAAGATTTATATATTTATATATACCTCATTTTTCTGAACTAATATTTTAGTTTTTACTTTGTATTTATTTTGGTAATGAAATTATATAATTTCGTATAAACAATTTTTTACCTATTTTAAAGTATAAGCGCTTATGCAAAATATTCTGTATTAATGTTATGATGTTGTAATTGGTTTTGCGTCCTTTAGCGCGTATTTTGAGCACCATTCCCGGTTCATGATTACTGGTATAATAGTTCGTTCCCATTTTAAAGGATATTCTTTCATTGCTATCTTCTTGCATTATTTCAATATTATAAGGGGTATATACTTGTAAAATTTTTGTATCCCCGGACATTCCTGTTAAAATGTAAGACTATTGTATTTCAAATGCGAAAGATCGAGAATGCTTGTTATATTTCTCACCAGTCACTTTAAAATTGTACGGTTCTCTGGTTAAATCAGGACAGGCAACAATTTCAATTTGAAATTCGTCAAAGTATTCGTGTAATTCGTACAGAACTGTAGCATATGTAATAACAGATGTAAAGTATTAAATAACTAAATTAAGTAATAAATGTTTTATACGTACTATCTCTGATATCTTCAAGAGCAATTGAATTAAATGATATGCATTCGACCTTAACTCTGGGGTCATCTTCAGGCTCATTCCCGGGGTCATTGTCGGGCTCATTTCTGATGTTCATTCGTAATAACGCTGCATTGAGGTCATTTCCGAGCTCTGCTGCAGGGCGATTTTCGTTTTCCTCTCCAGACTCTTTTGGTATGACAAGTTTAGATTCTTTTAGAGGCTTTCTTTCCAGCTTTTCTTCGGGATTATTTGTGGGTTCATCTCTGGGATTATTTTCGATTATGTTTTTATTTCTAATGTATTTTTCACGCTTAACACGTTTTGGCTTATTCGGTTTACCCATAATGCTCAATTCGAGTTTAACGCGACAATGTCGTGCAATGTAAGAATGTTATGATTTATTAGATTGCTATAAAAAAACAACAATTATAATATCAGTAATTTATATACAGAACGTAACATGTAGCAGAGTATATCACAATTATTTTTAAAGAGAATATAGTATTATTAATGATGTACATAAATTTCAAGTATATGATGTAAAATTATGTTTAATTGTGTTTTATGACATGCATTTTAAAGAGTAAATTGTAATTAATTTAAGCAAATATATCTGATATTAAAAATAAAAATTTGTTTATTAAATTAGATTAATTTGAATTTTTGAAGATTCGCTAAGTTAAAAAAAAACATTTATAATTATTTTTAAAGAAATATTTGAATTAGAAGAAATAAAATATATATGTTCCTAGGTTCTGAGGTTATTCTTTTTCCGTTATTCTGTATATGTATAATTTACATGCTCAGGAAAAATCTTTAAATAATTTGAAATTTATCAGACACCTTACAATTATATTATAAATTATATAAACGCAAAAAAAATCTGCATATAATTGTGAATGTACACATAAATTATATATATATATATATAAATATAATAATTTGTACTTACGTTATGAAATGTCTTATTGTTCAATTACTTTAATTAGTATTATCGTCAAACGTGTCTTCTTTCGCTGTTTGCAAATGTATGACTAATCGCACAGGTCGTTTTAGTATATATTATTCTCTCAAATGTAACCGAAAGCAGAAAGAATAACAACAAATAATGAAAACGGTCAAATGTACAAGTCAATATCGATTGGAGTTATTGTAAATATATCTTGAATTTACCAACGAATTTTAATACAAATACTTATATAGAGTGTCTCATATGAAGTTACTTAAACTAATCAGCTGTTATTTTTCAATGCATGCAGTTATTAAGAAATATTTTCAACAGTGCTAAGTTTAATAGTAGCTATTAATAGGATCATCAACATTAAAAATGACATGTTAGAAAAAGTTTTTAAGAATTTTTGTAAAAGAATAGAATTTTTTACAAATTCAAATGGTGCGCATTTTGACAATATTTATCACTAGTTTACATATGTGATTATTAGCTCTTTTTTTATTATTTTTTATCAGTTAAATAGACTGGTATACAAATATTTTATTTATATTTATTAAAAGCTGCAGACTTTTCTCTTTCCAACACAATTTTTCATTTCTCAATAACTGCACACATTAAAAAACGACAGCTGATTAATTTCAGCAATTTCATTCTGTGTATCTCTTTCTTCCGTTCCAGAAAAGACCAGATATCGTTTTTTTTTTTTCGCGCCACCGTGTAAAGGAGTTGGAACGAGACGTAAGTTCTCTCTCGGATTTTTCTCAGCTTATCCAAAGAATCCATTCTCCGCCGGATGCTCGCATAAATGCGGAAGAGCGGCCAATATACACGCGTGGACGCGTTCAGCGCCGCGGAATCGGTCGACGCCAATAATGGAATTTACATCGGCCAGATAGAGCTGAGAGGGCGAGAACGGACAAAGGGTTAAGGAGGAGGGCGAGAAAGTGTGAGGTAAAGTGCCCAGTTGCACAACATAACGCGACGTAATCTCTGGCATCGCGATGGACGCGACGCAACTCTCTATTCATCTCTTCATATTTGCTGGAAGCGCGGATATTTGGATGAATCGATATCCCTACTATTCTGGGATTTCCCTCCCTTGCCCTTTGGTCCTTCCACCCCTGCTAGCCATTTCTCTTTCTCTTCTTGTACTTTCCTCTCTCTCTCTTTTGCATCTAGCCTTCTCGGTCCGCCGATAATCCCACCCCGTTTTGTCCTCCTTTTAGGACCAGACTGTTGAAGCCAGGGCGCTGGCTAGTCTAGCCAAATAAAAGTTGAGAGTCGTCTGGCACCCGCCGAATAGGAGGCGACATCTTGTCTGAAGATGCTAACTCTAGGCATGTCTAATCTGGGGATGTTAACCTTGCTATTACAGCATCGATGTCTACTTTTGATAGAAATGTGCAGAGTGTTCCAAGGGAAATTGCTGAAATTAATCAGCTGAAATTTTTTTCATGCATGCAGCTGTTGAAAAAATAAAAATTGCGTTGGAAAGAGGAAGGTCTGTAGTTTTTAAAATGTAAATAAATGTTAGAATTTTTTTTTTTTTAAAGACAGTAAAGAAGAAAGAGAGATAGAGAAAGTTAAATATATAATTTTATAAAAGTACCAACATTGATTTATCTTTTATACTAGTTTGTCGTATATATATTCTCACTTTGTACATAATAAAATTATTAAATATAAAGAGCATGACAGTTTTTATTGTTTATAATTTGCGTTTATGATTTTATGTTAACGATTGAGTGATTGCGTGACAAAGAAGCCTGATGTAATAAGAAATTGTTGACTCATATTACTTAATCTATTTATATTCTAACTTTGCGTATAATAAAATTATGTAAAGTACGTGCATTTTTTATTAATTTTAATTTGCGCTCATGATTTTATGGTAATATGTAAGTGATTGCGCGACGAAAAGGCTGAGTGTTGTGAAAATCGTTGACTGGTATTACTTAATCTATCTACATTCTTAATTTGCGCATAATAAAAATACGATATATGAAATGTTTTTGTTTTTTATACATATATATGATTTTATGCTAAAAGTTGAGTGATTGCGTGACAAAAAGTTTGCACGTGGTGAGAAAATGTTGACTCGTACTACTTAATTGATCTACATTTTTATTTTGCGCATAATGAAAGAACGATATATAAAGTGCATATAATTTGTATATTGCTTTGACTCGCATTTATGATTTTATGTTAATGGAAGAATGATTCCGAGAAAAAATAACTAAATTAAGTGAGACATTATTGACTCGTACTACTTAATTTAACTAAATTTTTACTTTGCATAATAAAATTACGATAAATGATGTGTGTGCTATTTTTATTGCTTTGATTCGCGTTTATAATTTTACGTTATTGGCAGAATAATTGCGAGACGAAAAGACTGAATATAGAGAGACATTGTTGACTCGTACTACTTAATCTACCTATATTCTAACTATGCGCACAATAAAATTACGATATATAAAGTATGTGCATTTTTTATTAATTCTGATTTGCGTTTATGATATTATGATAATATCTGAGTAATTGCACGACGAAAAAGCTAAGTGTCGCGAAAAATGTTGACTGGTACTACTTAATCTATGTACATTCTTAATTTGTGCATATTAAAAGTACGATATATAAAGTGCTTCTAACTTTTTTGTGGTTTTTGACTTCACATGTATAATATTATGTTAATGGTAGAATGATTGCGCGATAAAAAGGAAGTAGTGAAAAATTGTTGACTCGTATTACTTAATGTATCTAAATTTTTCTTTTGCGTATAATACAATTATGATATATTAAATGCATGCTACTTTTTTATTACTTTGACTTGCATTTATAAGTTTATGTTAATGAGAAAATGATTGCGAGACGAAGAAACTGAATGTACTGAGACATTGTTGATTCATACTACTTAATTGATTTATTCTTTTATATTGTGCATAATAAAAGTATGATATATGAAATGCGTATAAATTTTTGGTTATTTTAATTTGTATTTATGATTTTATGCTAATAGCTGAGTGATTGCGCGACGAAAAGACTAGATGTAGTGAAAATTGTTGACTGGTGTAGTGGCGATGAGATATGCGAATCGTGTCCACATTTATAATATTATGTTAATGGTAGAATGCATCAATTCTTAACTTACTGGCTCTTGACAAAGAAACAACCAACAGGTTGTCAAAAATCGCGGACGACGCGCAGCAACACGTAGCCTTGTTACACGCGCTAGGAGTCGATATTAATAGTGAGATCGTGGTGCATGTTTTGGAAAGTAAGATACCGAAGGTCACACTAGAAAAATGGGAGGCTACACTTAATCACGACGAATTCCCGAAAGTAGATCAGATCTACAAATTATTATATAAAACGGCAGTGTGCGCCTCGAAACGAGAGCGTATAAAGGCGAAGGAGACGCAAGGAAGATCGTGCAAGGTCGCAATTAAAAAGAGATATTTCGGCACCGCGAATAAGGCGTTCGTAATAAATACGGCACGTAGTTGCATTATGTGCAAGAATAAGAAACATCCCTTGTTCTTATGCGATAGATTTAAGGCGCTCTCGGTTGTGGATCGGATTGAGATCGTGAGAAAGGCAAAAATATGCTACCATTGTCTGCGTTCGCATCGTGATCAAGCCTGCAAATATTCGAATTGCACTTTTTGCAATAAGCGTCATAATACGTTGTTGCATCAAGAGGATCGATCAAACGCGAATAAGACCGACGCGAAAATGAACGCGAACGTAAATACGGTATGACTAGACAATGCGGACGTTGGTATCGCGAGACATAACGCCACAATTAGTGACCAGTGCGATGATTTATGTTGAGAACAATGCGAGCGATGTTATTAAATGTCGAGCGTTATTGAATACGTGTGCTACAGCTAATTTCATTTCGGAGAGCTTAGTAAAACGGTTAAGATTGTCGGTGAAAGGGCAAAGGACAACCATAAGCATGATCAATTCGCTTCATACGGCATCAGAGGGCATCGCAGAAATTACCATACGGTTAACGTGTACCGAGTTCAGTAAAGATATAACATGTAGGTTTGTCCGGAAAGTAATGCGTCGCATTTTTTTAAAAAAGAATTTATTGATCGCATAGGTAAAACAACTTAAAATTGTTCGAAGTATGACCCTTCTGCGTCAATACATTTTTGCCAACGCGATTTCCATGCGTCATAAGATTTCTGGAACTCCTTGACTGGGATGCTGTTCAGGGAGGCCGTCGAAGTAGCTTGTACGTCGTGTGCCATTCCGCACTCTGCCTCTTTGACTCCGGATCGTACTGAAAGACCCATGACTCATCCCCAGTGATAACGTTGTTCAGGAAATTGGGATTATCTGCACAGAGTTGCTTGAGTTCTTCACAAACTTCCACTCGGTGTTGCTTTTGCGCATCGGTCAACACTCTGGGCACAAGTTTTGCGCAAATCTTCCGCATGGCCAAGTCTTCCGATACAATCTCGTGAACAATCGTTTTCGGCAAGTTCAATAATTCCGACATTAAGCGAACATTCATTCGACGGTCTGAATTCAATAATTGGCGCACACGAGTCACATTGTCGTCCGTTCGCGATGTTGACGGGCGTCCTGCGCGGGCCTCGTCGGCGACCTCCTTCCGACCTTCTCTAAACATCTTGTGCCATCTGTTTGACTGCGATTTGGAAAGGCAATCGTCCCCGAAAACTTTCTTGAGCATTTCAAAAGTTTCCAGCGGCGTCTTGTCCAGCTTCACGCAAAACTTTATCGCATAGCGTTGCTCTATCGTTCTCTCCATCACAAGTTCGACGCGACCACTAAGCAGAGGTTCACAGAATAAGCCGTCCTAACCCTCCAAGCGCATGGAAACAATTGAGCGACCTACCGTTGGAAAGCTAAGGGTACCCCCCTTCCTCCCCAACCGGTCCCATCGCTCTGCGATGTATAGTCGCGTCACAAAAAAATGCGACGCATTACTTTCCGGACAAACCGGATATTGTGATACCAACCATAGTTAGTTTAATGCCGTCCGAAATTATATCGCGAAGAAATATTAACATCCCACCGAACATTAAG